CATAATTCACTGAATCATGGAGACCACGCCGGTTGCACCGGTCTTGCCACCACGGGCCGCGTTCACATTCAAAGTTCGGTCATATGTCGAGGGATGTGCGCAGCAACGATACCAGCTGCGCAAGAGAGCCAGATACTTTTGTTCGCGCCAAAAAAGGAGAGCGCGTTGCTGCGGGGCAGAAGCCATCCGCACTTGTCGATCATGAGGGGACCGTTTCGCCAGCTGGTGCCCAGAGAATGGGGAGGAGGACCGAGAATCGGGGGAGCGTAAGACCCGGGTTTGCCAGGACTCGGGTTCGCCATCGTTTTTTGACGACCGCGACTCGGATTTTGACGAGGAGGAGTTTCGTGGGATGTTTGCAGCGGGAGGCCTCGTCAAAATGCAGGCTCGGCCTCGTAATTTTTTTGACGACCTCGTCGGGGATTTCCGAGTCCCCTGTACCCGGGTCTTACGCCTCCCTGAGAGAAGGGGAGGAGCTCGATCTTGGGCGTGGCGCGCGTGGCGGGCGGAGTGGCCTGCCGTTTAATGCTTACACATCCTGGCGGAGCCGGGCAGTTCCGCCGCACTGGAAGACTCGCCCTGTGCAAATCCGGCCCTGCGACTCGAGCACGGAGTGCCCTTTCGCGCGCTGCATGGCCCAGCGGGTCTCGGATGCTCTCAGGAGCCGTGTGGGACCCGAAGGGATCTGCAGCAGCCTCTCGCGGGCGCGGACGCCCTGAGTGCCCTTCTCCTCGCCGGCAGCGGGAGCCGCCGAAGGTGCGGATGGCAGCCCCAACCGCTGTGCGGGCGCCATCTCGAGGGAGTTGCGCCGCGGGGCGCTCGTGCCGGTTCCGCCTCCGGTCCCCGCTGGCTGCGCCGCCAGGACCATTCGGTGCCGCTCTGAGGTCGCGCGGCCGGTCGTACCACCCGGCGCGGAGTTGCTAGGAGCCGTTGGCCATGCAAGCAGTTGTAAGTGAGTTTCATGAGCAATTGCAAGTGCACCCGCTTACTGCTCCAAGACCTGCTGACACTTAGCGCCGCGCTACTCAGCGTCCAGTAGCACTCAGGGCAATCCACGCACTCGTTTCGTTCTGCGCATTGCGCCCCTCCAGAGGCGTGCACCTTGTTTTTTCATCTCGGACTGCGCCCCTGGCCCTCCGAACAACAGCAAAAACAACAATGACAACAACAATACGAATAACAACAATAACAACAACACACCACCACCAACAACACCAACAACAACACCAACAACACCAACAACAACAACAGTAGCAGCAGCAACAGCAGCAACAACAACAGCAACCACAACAGCAACACCACCACCACCAACAACAACAACAGCAGCAGCAACAGCAACAGCAACAGCAACAGCAACACCAACGCCACCAACAACAACAGCAGCAGCAACTGCAACAGCAACAGCACAACAACAACAGCAGCAGCAGCAGCAACAGCAACAACGGCTCCCGCCTGATACATCCCCATAATTCACTGAATCATGGAGACCACGCCGGTTGCACCGGTCTTGCCACCACGGGCCGCGTTCACATTCAAAGTTCGGTCATATGTCGAGGGATGTGCGCAGCAACGATACCAGCTGCGCAAGAGAGCCAGATACTTTTGTTCGCGCCAAAGAAGGAGAGCGCGTTGCTGCGGGGCAGAAGCCATCCGCACTTGTCGATCATGAGGGGACCGTTTCGCCAGCTGGTGCCCAGAGAATGGGGAGGAGGACCGAGAAGGGGAGGAGCTCGATCTTGGGCGTGGCGCGCGTGGCGGGCGGAGTGGCCTGCCGTTTAATGCTTAGACATCCTGGCGGAGCCGGGCAGTTCAGCCGCGCTGGAAGACTCGCCCTGTGCAAATCCGGCCCTGCAACTCGAGCACGGAGTGCCCTTTCGCGCGCTGCATGGCCCAGCGGGTCTCGGATGCTCTCAGGAGCCGTGTGGGACCCGAAGGGATCTGCAGCAGCCTTTCGCGGGCGCGGACGCCCCGAGTGCCCTTCTCCTCGCTTCGGGTTCTTTCGTTCTCTTCTCCTCTCCCCGCGCCCAGAATATGCGTGTGTGTCTGCAACAGGTGTGTCTCCAAGAGGTTAGTCTCCCAAGCAGCGCTCGGTCAAAATCACCACACTTCGAGGGGCCTCGAATTGCCGGCCTTGTGGAGATACACGCAATGAGGGGATGCAGCAGATGTGCAGGTAGGAGCTCTTGTTCCAGGTACAGCTCTGCCGATGAGGTCGGCCCGCACAGTCGCGTTGCCTCTCGTGGAACTGCTGCAAGCAAACCGCGTGCACAGGGCGTCGAACCACATCCGTAATTGCATGGATGTCTGCTTTCTCCCTGCCCAGACCCGCCCTGCACCTGTTTCTCGCAGGAGGGAAAGAAACACACAGACACAATCAATCGGCGATTGCCCAGCAAATATGGGAAAATATGGGAAGTGGCGGGGAAGACAAACACCCAGAAAATACAGGAACATATGGGGCATTTTTTTATTTGTGTGTATTTATTTGTGTGTTCTGGGGCCCCTTTCTGTTTCTCGGAAGGTGGGTGTTCCGCGGACGGGACGGTTCCGCGTCCTGAGCCGCGCGGTGGAGGAAGGCATCTCTGCGAGCTACCCGCCAGCTCGGGTGTCGATTAGCTACTTTGGCTACTTCGTGCGTGTTTTTTGTTGCTCGATGGTCCAGGATGGTCCTTGGAGGGAGGGTAGGCGGGGAGAGAGAGAATACCTTGGCATCGCTCGGACGTGTGCATTTCCTCTCGGCGAGAACCATCGAGGACCATCCTGGACCATCGAGAAAAAATACGTACGGTACCACATGTGGCCACTTCCGCTGCAGCGGTGGGCCGGGTTGAGTTCACGAGTGGTGCACTTGCTGCCACGCAGTGCGTGCAGGCAGGTCTTCCGCTTTTCCTCTGGTTGCGCTTGGGAGGGTGGAGCCCCCCACGCGAGCGCCACCGCTGCTGAGTTCATTCCTCTTCGGAAGCAGGGGTCGACTTGCGTGCTTGATCCTTGGCGGATGGCGGGAAGATGTGGAATGGCAGGGGCTGGTCTCAGTCTGGAGATTTCAGCGCGCCGAGTGCGTCGTTGGACCTTTTGCCTGGGCTTGCGAGATCGAGGCTTTGCCACCACGAGTTTCACGCCAATAATCTCTGTCCACCTTGCTGGAACGCGATCGTGACCACCGTCACCGTCGTCCTTAGCGTTTCAGAATCAGTTTCCAACGAGTTGTTCCACCAGCATCCAAAAAAAGAGGCCCCCCAAGAGGCTCCTGAGGCCCTCGAGAGGTCTCCAGGAAGACCCAAAAGGCACCCCTGAGGCTCGTGCCCTGAGTCCGACTCATCCTGTGCGCTCTGGGCTTCCCGATTCGAGCCATTCCGGAGGAAGGCAGAAGGACGCCACCGCCGCCGGCAGGGCCACCTGTAAGTCGGGCATGTCCCTGTTCTACAGGAGGAATGTTAAAGAATAATTTGACATGATATGTGACGATTTTTCGTGCTCTTTTGACTATCCGTGAGGGCTTCGCCCCCTGCCGCCGGCCCCCTCTCTAT